TCCTCTCTGTGTTAGATCTCAGCTTGGAACCACTCGATATTGTGTTGATAGATCTAAACATGGTCTGCTATTCCTGATTTGCTGGTTTACCCTCGCTGTGTGTGCTTCTTGTGCTCGGCAATGCGAACATTCAATGGCCTCTTAGTTTCACCAATATAGGATTTTCCGCACTCACAGGGTATCCGGTAAATGCAATTCTTGGAATCGCAGTACGCGTTTGGTGGCCTGATTTTTTTCTATTTTAGTTGTTTCTAGGATTTCAATTCATTTTATGTATTAGACAATTGAAGTCCGAACTAGTGAAATTCATAGATATACATGTTGATGTGGCCTCTTATTTTAGGCATTCAACGAAAATTGTTCTTCAATCATGGACTACCTACTGCGAAGTTTCAAACAAGCTCAATTCTCGATATCTTACATAGTGCTATAGATATCGAAAACAAAACTATCAATAAAAGTTAATGGGAACATTGATCTCAGCCCATACACCGCATTTAATGAGAAAATTTGCGGTTTGAAAATTTCAATAATGTAGTATTGAACAAAATTTATTTTTTACCAAAATTCAATTTAATTTAAGTTACAGTGATTGACACCAACTGCGGACCACCATATAGTTACTATGGTCTTTTTTGGTGGCTTTTTGAAAAGTGAGTGGATGGCTCGTCAGTGTCCAAACACTGCCGTGAACGTCTCTTGTCGTAGAGGATCTACTTTTCATCACACATGATGATCTGATACAAAAAAAGCGTTTTGGTTGGGCAAAACCAAAGAAGAACATACTTCAAAACGTTACAGCACTGAACGCGTTCAGTGCTGTAATATCGAAGGATTCGACGGCCTCACGGGTAATTAATATTGTGTTTAGTTTATTCGCTGGTGTTATCATTATTTTTAGTTTTTGTAGTTGGTTATAAGTGACTTACTACAAAATCTTCTATGATATCCTGAAATTTCGTTTTTATATGAGCGCAGGCCTATAGTCAAAGAACAAAATTGGCTCCGCACTTCGTTTCGAGGTCATCAAGAACTTTGAGTGGACTTACTGGTTGATTTTTACTATGATAATGAGCTGAAAAGTAGCAACATTCTCTATCGCTCTATAGACCTACAAAAACATATGACATTGAAACAGATAAAACTTTTGAGCAACCTAAAATTTGTGAAAAACATGAGCTTGTTTGTAATCACCCAATTTTTTATTCTCCGAAATGGGTCTCATAACACAAAAAACAATATGAATTTTCAGTGTCAAAGGATTTCTTGATTGTGTTCTTGAATTCACCATAACGGATAATTCTTGTTCGCAGTCTAAGGATGTAGAAAACATCCAATGTGGCATGAGCTGTGTGGCACGAAGCTCCTTCTTGTTGAAACCATAAGTCGTTGGTATGTAATCATCTAATATTGGCCAAAATAGTTGATAATCATCGACCAATGGTGCTCGCCGTTGACAGTGATGGCCAATATGGACAGATAACGCTGCCAGCCCAAAATTCACACCAAACCTTAACTTTTTTGGAATGCATTGGACGCTTTTGAATCTCATGTGAATTGACATCGTCCCAAATTTGACAATTTTGTTTGTTCGCGAACCGATTCATCCAGAAATAGGCCTCATCGCTGAAGATGATTTGTTGATGGAAATTAGAGTCAGTTGCCAACTGCTCCATGACCCATTCAGCGAACACATGTCGTTTTCTATGGTCGTTTACCGCCGAATTTTGTATGGATGTAGGCCCAAGACACGACGTAAAATTCGCGAAGTTTTAGAATATAAAAGGCCGAGTTCTTGTGAGTTACGAGAAATCGACTGCCTCAGATTCTCCTGCACACTCTCACAGACAACGGCGATCGTTTCAGCATATCTTGAGTTTCGTTACCGAACTAGTGGACTCAAATTAGTCTACCACATTGCGAATAGTCTTCTAGATAGGACGATTATGGCGACCGTAAAATAGGAGAAGCGCGCGGTACGTTGCTTGAACAGAAAACCCATTTTGATAAAGCAATTTCATTATTTGCATATGTTGTTGAATGCTATATCCATTCATAGTCATTTGGCAAAACAGACTAAATGAACGACAACTAATTTGACAGATGCAGCTTCAACAAGATGGTCGTTATCAATTGTCAGATTTCGGAAGTCCCTGTTGGAAGACCCTATTCATAAAAACATTTCAATATGACTTCAATAAACTAGTTAACTCAAGAATATTGGCTGGTTCTTGCAATATATTACTGTAAATCTTAAATTATAAATATCAAAAATAGATGTTTCGATATAAATTCCACCATCATTAGAAACAAAATTGATCTATTGATGTTTCACTCTATAACAAATTGAAAAAAACTTCCGTGGGCTACTCGCTCTCAGCTGATTTTGAAATACAATTTTCTCGGTCTTTATGAAATATATTCTTTAAGCAAGTGTTTTTTAGTGCATCATTTTTCATAAGAATGAAATTGAAATTAAATTATATTCCATCCGAGAATATCAAATGCTATGAAAACTGTGTGAATTCCAATCTACCACATTTACTGACCAAATACACACGGGCTCAATGCACAGATGAATGCACACTTGTTGTGAAATATATTATTCCACAGATGACTTGATTGTGTGTCATAGTGTGATTTTGCTTATTTTGCAGGAAACTGTCCACTTTCACTTTCTCAAGTATCACTGTCAGACATATTTTATTCGTAATTATTATAAAAAATAGTTATTCAGTACACTATAAGTATTCAAGCTCAGTGTGGCGAGAGAGATAGCGTAACGCCGAACCAGTGGGAAGATAATCGCAGAGTCGCTTGCGCATGGCGACGCGTCACCACGGCAGCAATTGGTTTTACGTGCGGCTATAGATGTTTCACATCAAAAAGGCACTAAAGTTTTCAATGCTGTTGTGGACAGTTGTGGGTATTCCTTTTTGATACATACCCAAAATTTGTCTATACGAGCATTGTTGAAATTTAAAGCTTGAGATTATCATAAAATAATTGAAGTAACAAAGTGTATTGTTTATTTTACTAATTACTAGTATTTTCTATGAATAAAAATCAGCCATCAGTGTAGTTTTTTATTAATATTTCACAGTTAAAACTGGAGTCGCATAATATTCAGCTTCGAAAGGGGGTCACAATGCCTAGAAGTTTGAGAACCCCTGCTATGAATAAAACTCAGCCATCAGTTTAGTTATTGTTTCAGAGTTGAAACTTGGGGGGTCGCCAAAATATTCAGCCTCAAAAGGAAGTCGCAGTGCCTAGAAGTTTGAGAACCCCTGCTATGAATAAAATTCAACCATCAGTTTGGTTTTTTATTATTGTTTCACAGCTGAAACTTGCGGGGTCACCGAAATATTCAGCCTCAAAAGGGGGTCACAGTGTCTAGAAGTTTGGGAACCCCTGCTATGAATGAAACTCAGCCATTAGTGTAGTTTTCAATTATTGTTTCAGAGTTGAATCTTGGGGGTTCGCCAAAATATTCAGCCTCAAAAGGGGGTCACAGTGTCTAGAAGTTTGATAACCCCTGCTATGAATGAAACTCAGCCATCAGTTCAGTTTTTTTATTATTGTTTCAGAGTTGAAACTTGGAGGGTCGCCAAAATATTCAGCCTCAAAAGGAGGTCACAGTGTCTAGAAGTTTGAGAACCCCTGCTATGAATAAAACTCAGCCATCAATGTAGTTTTTTAATTATTGTTTCAGAGTTGAAACTTGGGGGGTCGCCAAAATATTCAGCCTCAAAAGGAAGTCGCAGTGCCTAGAAGTTTGAGAACCCCTGCTATGAATAAAACTCAGCCATCAATGTAGTTTTTTAATTATTGTTTCAGAGTTGAAACTTGGGGGGTCGCCAAAATATTCAGCCTCAAAAGGAAGTCGCAGTGCCTAGAAGTTTGAGAACCCCTGCTATGAATAAAACTCAACCATCAGTTTGGTTTTTTATTATTGTTTCAGAGTTGAAACTTGTGGGGTCACCGAAATATTCAGCCTCAAAAGGGGGTCACAGTACCTAGAAGTTTGGGAACCCCTGCTATGAATGAAACTCAGCCATTAGTGTAGTTTTTTAATTATTGTTTCAGAGTTGAAACTTGAGGGGTTGCCAAAATATTAAGCCTCAAGTTTAGAACCCCTGCTTTTCATCAATTCCCATGAAATTTATGTCGCATACAGCATCTGCCTAACGTCCTCATGAATTACACTAGTGATCCGTGTTTCGATATCTCAATTAGAGTAACAATTGCGTACGTTTTAGTGGGGTTTGTGATTATGATTGATACAACCAATTAACTCAGTATGTGCCCGACGAACGGGTTTGATAACAACGCCAATAATTACGGATCAAGGTCAAATATCGTTATGTAGAATTCCAGGTTTAAATTTCTTATCGCGGCACTATATTTAAAGAAATGACTGTCAGTTTAATGAAGTCTGAACGTTGAATTATTCAATTGATTCATCTCTTACACTCGAAATAATCTCTGTCAATCAGCAAAAAATGGTCGGCTTTGAGGGGAGAAAACAACTGAGTCAAATAGATATTATGTATACAGGGCGTTATTGGAGCGAAAACTTGACTTTCAGATAACTCAGAAAAGAATGCAGCATGGGGTGAGATGATACATAAGAAGAAAGGTATTTTGACCGTAACAAGAAGAAAAAACCCATTTTTTGTAGGACAAGTTGAAAAAACTGCAAAATACTAGAGCGAGTTCATTTGCGCACTTCTCAAGTACGAAGACGGGCACTTGATGAAGGCCAGACGCCTTGTTGATATTGAGCTATTTCAGAATTCGCCTGACAAGACGTTGTACTGGTACCGAAACTACAAAATTCAACAAAAGCTGGTTTTCATGTAATTGACATTGTTATATTATTAGCCTTCATAGGTGACGTTTTGTAGGGTTCCTCTGTAGGGTTCCTCTATTTCCATCACATTTCGGACAGTACTAACTGAACAAGAAAAGTGCTTTCCCTGTAGTTGAATAATGCCTTGTAGAAAGCAAAACATTTTTATTCCAAAATCTAATCGCTTCTAAAAATATGTCTACATCAATTTAATACATTTCGTCTTGAGATAACGCAATGTAACAATTCATTGAGAACATTGATACAACAAGAAAACTGAATATATCGTATTGTCTACATTTTCACTTCGCTTCAAAGTTTTTAGTCGATGAATAAAGCATAGATGTGTCCAAATGAATATTTTTCTGTAATCACTTTTGTAACAACTCTGCAATATCAAAGAATCCATTTTCTTGGGCATACATGTAAGCAGTTTTCCCGGCTTTGTCTTTTGCATTCACATCGTTACCAGAAGCTTCCAGAAGAGACTCAACAATCTCCTTGAACCCTTCTCGACTTGCTGCCATCAATGGCGTAATTCCAAGTTCATTAGGGATTGTAGGAACAGCTTTATGTAACAAGAGCAAGTCGACAATATTCTTATGACCATGTGAACTAGCCAAAAATAAAGGAGTTTCCCCTTTGACGTTGGCTAGTGCTGTGGAGGCATTGTTTACTAGGAGTCGTTGAACCACTTCTATAAAACCCTTCCTACTCGCTATTGACAGTGCCGTTTCCTTCATTTTGTTAACATGGTTGATGTCAGCATGATATTGTAGCAACAAGTCAACAATTATAATATACCCCCTAAAGGAAGCTCGAGTTAGGGGACTGTTTCCATCGCTGTTGCTGTGATTTACGTCAGCGCTGCTATTGAGAAGGATTTCCACCACGTCGTGTTGTCCATTCCAACAAGCTCTGTTGAGAGCGGTGTTGCCGTATTTATTTTCATGTTCAACGTTGCTTCCTTCATTCACCAACAGAGCGACAATTTTCTGAAAACCCTTGAAACTTGCTAGTGTAAGAGCTGTGTCACCGTTTTTATTTTGGTTCTCTGTATTAGCGCCTTTCGATAATAAGAGATCTACTAATTCGTCAAATCCAGCGAATGCTGCCATCGTGAGAGGAGTGTCGAAAAATCTGTTTCTGGATTCGATACTGGCGTTTTTCGACAAGAGCAGTTCAGCTACATCTTTGAAGCCTGAAATAAAATTGATTTAAATAGATTAATTCAAAATGGGAATTGAAGTTGATCTTTCTTGAATTTCGAGAAAAGTCTGTAGGCGTTTGAAGACCAATTATTATTATTATTCTTATTATTAAACAGATGTGAACTATCAGTGTTTAAGAAATGAACACGATCATCTTTCGAAAAAATTGCAATTAGTAGGATCGACACAGACCTCAAACTTCTTCCATAAATAGTCGAAGATCTCTGCTTAACTTTCACTTCTGAAACTGTTTCGGTTTGAACTGACGATATACGTTCCAGGTTAATAGACTGCATGCTTAGAGAAAAATTGGTGTGAAGGATTTGCTTGTTTGGGAATTTATCCTCCTCACATTGTAAGATGAGAGGAGACGCAGAAGTTGACCACCTAGCTGAAATGAATAGAGCGCAAACTGGAACTTTTGAATATGTCGAGAAACGAGCTTCAAATATGTCCACAAACTATTGACTCAGATTAATCATAAGAATACACATTAGGCACTGTTCATTTATAGGTTAGTGAATTACAAGGATTGACTTAGAATAATCACAAGGCTACTCATTAGCCACTGTTCATTTATAGGCTAGAGAAGTACAAGGATTGACCCAGAAAAATCATAAGAATACTATGGGCCACTGGCCATTTGAAGGCTGGAAAAGTACAAGGATTGACTCACAATAATCATGAAGCTACTCATAAAGCACTGTTCAACTGTTCATTTATAGGCTAGAGAAGTACAAGGATTGACTCAGAATAACTATAAGGCATAAGGCTCATTAGGCACTGTTCATTTATAGGCTAGAGTAGTACAAGGATTTACCCGTGAAAATCAAAAGGCTACTGTCTATTTAAAGGCTAGGAAAGTACAAGGATTGACTCAGAATAATAATGAAGCTACCACTCATTGAAAATTGTTCATTTAGAGAATAGAAAATTACAAGGCTTGACTCAGAATCATCATAAGGCTACACATTAGGTTAGGTTAGGTTCATGTATAGGTTAGAGATTTACAAGAATTGACTCTGAATAATCACAAGACTACTTATTAGCCGCTGTTCATTTATAGGCAACAATTGACTCTGAATAATCACAAGACTACTTATTAGCCGCTGTTCATTTATAGTCTAGAGAAGTACAAGAATTGACCCATAAAAGTCATAAGAATACTCAATGATCATTTCCATTTGAAGGCTAAAAAAGTACAAGGATTGACTCAGAATTTATTAGGCTTCATATCAGGCACTGTTCATTTATAGGCTAGAGAAGTACAAGGATTGACACAGAATAATCATGGAGCTACTCATAAAGCAATGTTCATTGAGGCTAGAGAAGTACAAGGATTGACTCAGAAAAATCATAAGGCCACTCATTGGGAACTCATTTAGAGGCTAGAAGAGTACAAGGATTGACTCAGAAAATTCATAAGGCTACTCTTTGGGCACTGTTCATTTATAGGCTAGAAAATTACAAGGATTGACTCAGAATAATCATGAAGCTACTCATAAAGCACTGTTCATTTACAGGCTATAGAAGTACAAGGATCGATTCAAAAAAATCATGAAGCTACTCATTGGGCACTATCCATTTAGAGGCTAGAAAAGAACAAGGATTGTTTCAGAAGAATCATAAGGCTACTCATTAGGCACTGTTCATTTATAGGCTAGAGAAGTACAAGGATTCACCCGTAAAAATGAAAAGGCCACTGTCTATTTGAAGGCTAGGAAAGTACAAGGATTGACTCAGAATAATAATGAAGCTACCACTCATTGGGAACTATTCATTTAGAGAATAGAAAAGTACAAGGCTTGACTCAGAATCATCATAAGGCTACACATTAGGTTAGGTTAGGTCCATGTATAGGTTAGAGAATTACAAGAATTGACTCTGAATAATCACAAGACTACTTATTAGCCGCTGTTCATTTATAGGCTAGAGAAGTACAAGAATTGACCCAGAAAAATCATTTGAATACTCATTGGTCACTGTCCATTTGAAGGCTAGAAAAGTACAAGGATTGACTCAGAATTTATAAGGCTCCATATTAGGCACTGTTCATTTATAGCCTAGAGAAGTACAAGGATTGACACAGAATAATCATAGGGCTACTCATAAAGCACTGTTCATTTATAAGCTAGAGAAGTATAAGGATTGACTCAGAAAAGTCATAAGGCTACCCATTGGGCACTGTTCATTTAGATTCCAGAAAAGTACAAGGTTTGACACAGAATAATCATAAGGCTACTCATTAGGCACTGTAAATTCATAGGCTAGAGAAGTACAATGATTGACTCAGAATAATCATAATCACTGTTCATTGAGGCTAGAGAAGTACAAGGATTGACTCAGAAAAATCATGAGGCTACTCATTGGGCACTGTTCATTCATAGGCTAGAGAATTACAAGGATTGACTCAGAATAATCATGAAGCTACTCATAAAGCACTGTTCATTTATAGGCTACAGAAGTACAAGGATCGACTCAAAAAAATCATGAAGCTACTCATTGGGCACTATCCATTTAGAGGCTAGAAAAGTATAAGGATTGACTCAGAAAAATCATAAGGCTACTCTTTGGGCACTGTTCATTTATAGGCTAGAGAAATACAAGGTTCGACTCAGAAAAATCATAAGAATACTCATTGGGCACTGTTCATTCAGAGGCTAGAAAAGGTTTTTTTGTGTTGAATAAAAACAATTCATATTTTCCAGATCGGGAGATATGGAAAGTCAATATCATCATTTCAATGTAGTTATCTGGATTGATGATGGGTATTCAGAAGGTTATAACTGAAATCGAATGATATCAAAAAGGCAGATATAATAAAGCTATGAATTCATTTTTGATTGTATCATCTCAGTGCATTCCTAATACATTATTCATAAAAGTAAGACTATCCAAGGCAATTCATTCATGTACTTTTAAAGACTCCCTCAGATTTATCTAATAGTTCAATCAGAAACAAATTATTAGAACTCAAAAATGCACCCACCTCCAGAACTAGCAATGGCCAAAGCTGAGTTCCCCATATTATTCTTGATGTCCACTTTGGCTCCTGCTCCTAAAAGGGCCTCAGCTACTTTGAAGTATCCGCGATTTGCTGCCAAAGTGAGACCAGTCTCTCCTTGCTTATTTCTATGATCGATATTAGCATTCCTGGCTATCAACTCTTTGACAACTTTGTCAAAACCGTTTTGAGCTGAGACAAGTAGAGCTGTATTGCCATTCAGATTTTGGCTTTTGACATATGCGTTCCGTTTTAGTAAGACTTGGACAATTCCGGTAAACCCTTCAGAGCTGGAGAGTATTAGCGCTGTGTCGCCATTATTGTTTTGGTGGTTCACATTAGCACCGTAGGATGAGAGCAGTTCCACAACTTCCTTGAAGCCATTCTGGCTAGATTTGATCAAAGCTGTGTCACCGTCTTTGTTAGAATGATCAACGCTGGCCTTGTTGACCAATAGTATCTGTACTATCTCTTCAAAACCCTGAGAACTTGCGAGGATCAGAGAAGAATCTCCATTCCTGGTAGCATGATTAACGTCTGATCCTTTTGACAAAAGTTGTTTCACAATGTCCTCTCTGCCTGAAAAAATGAGAAAGGAAATGAGTTGCACCTGAAAGAAGATAATAATAAATGTCTGAAAAATTTATTTTTGAAAAAAAAACATATTGTCTTTTGGTCTGGGCTTTAAGTTTAGATTCATGTTGAATGGACTTACTTTTAGTAAAATTAAGTGGTTAGGCTCATTTGATCCGGAATATTGTATAAACAAAGTATTGAAATTTTCAGAACTTTCATCATGCAATCTTCTTTTGTGTGTATCTATGAAGGGCTCCACGAAGCGAAAAAAATTTACGGTAATTATTTCAATATTTATTTTTCTTTGAACGATAAAGGTAGTTTTGGAAAATTTTGTTAATTAACAATTGTCTAGATCAGGGATCTCCAAACTACGGCCCGCGGGCCAAATCCGGCCCGCCAGTGTCATCAATCCGGCCCGCGACAGCCAATGATTACCTAACGTGGTTATTCCAAATATTCAATTACGCTTAATGCCACCTAGCGGGTAGCTGAAAAAGATAGTTCATAGTACCACTCTTCGCCACTAGATGTCGTTAAGTGTCACAATACACAATAATAATTGAAATGCGAAAAAAGCGTAAGTTTGCTTAGGTCACGCACTTTGCGACTATTCTAGTCTAGAAATATAGTTGAGGGCAGAAATTGGCCCTTGGAACAAACTGAAAAAATCATTATGGCCCGAAGGCTTCAAAGTTTGGAGTCCCCTAGATTATTGAAAAAATAACTTCAATGAAAAATTCCAACAGAAATCAATTTTATGAAAGAGAGGACATTGGTAGATCAAGATCTACAGATGATGTAGTGCTGCAGGTTTTTCCGGGTTTTTCTTCAGCTGGAAAAACGAATGCGCCACTGGAATCTATGAAGTCGCCCCGGAGCGCCAGTTAATTTTTATTGTTGTTTTTATTTCTCTATTTACTTTGAGTACCTTCAAAAAATTATTTTCAAGTTACATACTCGCTTAGAGGCCGTGCGCGCAACCTAAAAATGGCGCGCAGAAGGCTATTTTCAACGTTAAATTGAAATTATAAATAATAGAGATACCGTTTCGGTATCATAAAAAGTTGTTGTTGAAACTATTTTCAGTAAATTTCCTCCTCTTCAAAGATATTTTTTTTCAAAATCGAAAAACATTTATAGTTTACGAACTATAAACAACAAAAATAATTTACTTATTTTTTCACAATGATCTAGACCACCACCTAACCACATAATTTTACTGAAAGTATGTCAATTTAACACGAATCTAAACTTGGAGCTCAGACTATTTGTAGAAATAAAGAAAGGAAAAGTCAATCTGTAAGTGAAGCTAACCTTATTGGAATCATACCTGTCCAGCTGGCCAACGTTAATGCTGTTTCTCCATTAATGTTTTCGTGTTCAACATTTGCCCCATTGTTCAACAATACTTCGACAACATCAGCTTTACCACCTCTCACAGCTTTCAACAGTGCGGTGTCGTTTCTTCTGTCAAGATGTTCACTCTGTGCTCCTTTTTTAAGCAAAAGCTCAACAATTTCCTTCTTGCCACTGAAACTCGCTTTATGAAGAGCAGTTTCACTATTACTGTCGGTAGACTCAACGTTTGCATTAAAATTCAACAACAATCGGACTATATTTGTGTAACCAAGAGAACTGGCTTGTACGAGAGCTGATATATTGTCTTTACTCACATGTTCAACACTTGCTTTCTTGGACAGAAATAGTTTCACTAGATTTTCATTTCCATTTTCCACCGCAAGAAGCAAACTGGTTTTCCCGACGGCGTTTTCATGTTCGATGTCGGCATTTTCCGACAGTAACTCTGAGACTGTTTCGAAATAGCCGTTCTCACTCGCTGAACTGAGAGGAGAGTCTTTGTTTCCATTAACATAGTTAACGTCGGCTTTGGCTTGAATTAATTCTTTGACTTCATTCGTGCGGCCGTTTTTACTTGCCAAGAGCAATCTGAAATAACGAAAATTTACAATAATCTTCCGAGGAAAATAACTTTGTGTATAATAATCTATTCCAGATTTGTTTTGTGTTTGAATGGTATAATTTTAACCACTAGGTATCACTTATATAGTTAAGTGTGCCAGAAAAAGCTTTCTGCGGATGAATTTAATGTAAAATGAAAAACTTGTTCTTGACTTTTGATTCACTCAGTATTACTAAAAAAATGTTGATCAAATTATCATTAGATGATGGTGAAACTTCATTTTTCAAATATTCTAATAGCGAAACATTCTTTTCAGTTTAGTTTTCATTGAGAATACGAACGGTTGAATGAATCTGTATTTTGGCGTTATTTTGTAAATAATTCACGAACTGCTGAAAAATAATATGTTTTTCGAAAATAATCAATTTTCTATAAATTGATAGATTTATAGATTTATAGATATATAGATATTATTGAGTGTGTATGATATAAATCAAAAGGAGGAAATTCGTGGACATGACACTCAAGAAATATGGAGGCAAACCGCGGACACGTGTTTCTGGCTATTGGCCTCATCAGCGCGGTGCAGCCAATTGCAAAGGTGGACAACAACTGGTTACCAAAAATGAAAAAAAAAACATCACATATGCACGGTATCACCAACAGGAGCCAACCGCACATTTGTGGTTTCAATTAGAAGACCCAGCATTCCCAGGCATCATCTAACATCACCACGTAGGCAGCTATAGCTACCTGCGTGACTTCCGGGTCCAGGATATAGATACAGAGATATAGATATTATTGAGTGTGTATGATATAAATCAAAAGGAGGAAATTCGTGGACATGACACTCAAGAAATATGGAGGCAAACCGCGGACACGTGATTCTGGCTATTGGCCTCATCAGCGCGGTGCAGCCAATTGCAAAGGTGGACAACAACAGTTTAAAAAAAAATCTGTTTAAAATCTGTTTTTCCGTTAATCAGCTGCCGCCCTCATACGAACGACAACTCTCAGAAGTTGAGAAACTTGTGCGAGCTAAGGACTAACGAGTTCTTACCTTTTAACGAGAGATTCCTAACAAATTTGAAAAAGTATTTCACATTATTCAATGTCAAAAAGTTGTCATTTTGATGTTGAAGACTTCTTTCAAAATTGAAATTTTCAAATTGAATATTCTCAAATAGCACAGGTATTCTGTTTTATCCGTTATTATGTTTTATATATATATATATATATTTATCATGTCCTTTTTATATTACAGCCCTCGATAAAGCTAATAAACATTAGCGAAAGCTCGGGCAGCTAAAAAGAGTAAATATTTATTCTAATCAGACCGAATCCCCGAAAAAATACTATTCTATATATATAGCTTTGTAAAGCATCAAAAGTTGTTGAAGTGTGTACAGTTTTCTGGTTTAGAACAGTGTTCAACGCTTTTGAGAAGCAGCCTTGGTAATTCCAGTCAAGACATATTGACTGGAATTACCATTTCAATCCCCGATAAACTTATCGAAGCAGAAAGCGGAATTGTCCGACCTGACATTATTATATCCTGATTGGAGACATTTATCTTCTTGCCTGGGTTTTTGTAGCACTGAATTGAACCTGGTTTTTCATCCTAATTCGAAATCACTTCTAGATCTTCATTTGGACATGCAATCTTCTGCTGCCGGTGAAGATGAATAGAAAAATATTTTTTCTGAATAATTAGCAGAAGTCGATTCATCGAAGTTGATTCAGGAAAGAAAGTCTTTAATATGTGTAACATGGTCATTTTTACATTTTTCTATTTTAAAAGCATCTACTTTTCCTTGTATTCTACCGAACGATATCAAGTTTAACAATTTTTTCATACTTGAAGAGAAAAATAAATTTTTTCTACACTGATTACTCATCTTACCTTCCACAGAGAATTTTCATTTCGAAAATATAGGGTTCTTTCTACAGGATTTGTTATGAAAAACTCAACAGGAATGTCTAATCGTGAAAGTGCTTCTCAAGATTTCCAGGTGTGACCAAAATTCTAGAGCCGTCCCTGCCAAATGACATGAACTTTGGAAATTAGTAAGCAGAATTCTGGGACTAATGCCCTCACAATACCGGAACCTCAACCACTATTTCCACTCGAATTCTTCCCAAATTGGCCTTTATAGAAATTCCAGCACTTGTCACGTCTTTTGAATTTAATTACCATCATTACCCGACCCGTTTACTGTCGATTTCGTTTTGCATTCTTTGAATTTATTCCGTTCTTGTCCCCAGCCGTCTTCTACATTGTCTTTTATCTGTCCACAGAAATTATACAAAAACGATTCCCGCCCGACTTTTTGTTCGAGGCAGTCGGAGTTTAATTGCTGTGAATTTTGATAAAAGATTCATTAGGACGACGCTTTGAAGGTACAGACAAATAAACAAAATAGGAGAACACTCAGTGGAAGGCCATATTCAAAACAGGATTTCTCTCAAAAGGTGTTATCTTTTTCCACTTTTGGTTGACGCGTTACATATCTTCACATTTTATTTTTCAAAATAAACAAATAATATGGAGGAGGAATATAATTTAACGAAATTTTACGAAACTAGTATCTTACTACGCCCTTAAATTCGAGTGTGAGTAGGTGTGAGCCACAATAAACCCTAGAGGGTTACGGGAGAGGATCGAATAAACCCACTTACTTTGGACCTAACTTAACCTAACGCCCTTGAATTGAAAGTAGCAGATAATGATATGCAGGATTTTTCTATCTCTCAGCATTTCATTTTGTTCATGGTAATAACACAAGGGAACAAAATTCAATTGTTTTTCCGTTGTGTGGAATTCCATGACTGTTGTTTACTAATTCACCCTTTCTTTTTCATCAACAGCTCGTTTTTGAGATACAACTATACACCATATTTGTGTAGGTACTAGGTACTAGGTACCTAGTGTAGGTACTACTAACTTTTATAATTAACAAGAACAATTTAGCAGTTATTTGCATATACTATAACAATTTTCAATTGAAGGTGATTCATTAGCAACGTCGCACTTGAAGTGACCAACGGATAATCCTCCTACCAACTCTGCAGAGGCGTACCAAAATAATATTTTTATTTATTTAAACACATAGGCAATTACGTAAAAATTGTTATAGTAGGTGTTGCTACCTGGTGTCAATGGTAAAACTGATTACATTTTCTTATTATGCCCAATACAGTACTTCAGAAAAGCAACGTATCCGTTCCATTGCGAGTTCTAATAAACGTTGGACATCAGAAATTTCATATGTCACATTTTCACGACCTACATAACCCTTAATTTGAACCCAGATTAATTCTATCGGGTTTGACTCGCAATGGTAAGAAATAAGTCTCAAACTGTTGATGCCTTCAGCACGAGCTATTGTATCCACCACATGCTGGTGATATCTGTCACGATGCTGTTTAATGACACTCATAAGCTCGGCCCTAACCATATCCTCGGAAAATGGAATTTCTTTTTGTCCTAACAAACTCTGTATGTCTGCTCTTCTGGTGGTCATAGTTGGCAGCTGTTCTACTAATCGGCTGTGATAAGAAGGGTTATCCATTACTATTACTAAATTTGAAAGGAGGGATTCAAACCATCCTTCAAACCGTTGGGCGTCCATGTCTTCGTGATATACCCCCGTTTTTTTTATGAAAAAATTAGTGCACTATCGTCTAAAAAGCCACTCTCGCTACCTATATGGGCAACAATTAGTCGTTGCCCTTTACCTGTTGGTCCGCATGACCCTGTTGATAAACCGTCCACAAATGCTTGACGACAACTAGTTACAGTAGTATCTTGCCAGATCTTAGATACTGTGTGACCATCATTCACCCACGTTTCGTCCCGATAACAAATTTTTTGGTGAGCAGAACGCATTTCTCTAATAGAGCGAAGATGTCTTCGTCGCCATGAGACTATATCTTCTCTTTCTATTAAGACAGACTTACGGGATCGTTTGCCATATAACAATTTCAAATCTTCTTTTAGGATTTTCCTCAATTTTCTTTGCTCATTTTTGGAATGATATCATTATCCATTACCTTTGTCCTAATGGATTCGAGGGTTGGCGCTTTATTCTCAAAAAAGAAAGAATGAATGGTACAGCGTACACAATTTTTCTGGTACTCGTCCAATTAATTTTTTTTTCTACAACGATAATGTACTTTTGGAGCTTGCACAACCCCAGTCACCTTTTTTTCACGTACAATGTGTATTGTTTAAATTTTCGTACACTCTACAGACAATCTGTTTTTCTTCTAACGACATAAACTTCCGCTTTCTTTGTACATTACTTGGACCTGCTACGGGATCCATCTTAATACTATAAAAATAATAAAATTCAATGATATTATTCATCTATTTGTCAGTTGTTTACTTACCTCAAAAACTATTTTGAAGTTGATGTATTTTGAAAAACACTTCATTGTGAGATTTTCACTAGAACAGGTTAACAAATCCGCAACACGTGTTTCGCTGCACAGTAGTTTTTTCAAGCCTGATCACTAACAAACTGAATTCTACATACATTGTGATTTATATATACTTTTTTTTATATTACTATCTACCTTGAAACTAATAATATTCTAGGAACTAATTAATGACAGTTATACCTGAGTTTAACGAACATTTATACCTGAGTTTAATGACTAGGTCAACTAATTATCTCACAATAATGTGTGAATGTGATGAAAATCTATGATAATGTATTTTGAAAAACAAGTATCGGCCAACTATATCTCATATTTTAAAGTTAATAAATATAACAGTCTATTCAATAAATATAATAAAATATATTTAATAAATACAAAACAAAGTCACCTTCACAAGAAACAGAACACACTACGCCTATGCAGATAAGAACGCTTGATAATGAAGAAACCGAATGACTAGTTATGGCATTTTAAGGACCCAAATATAATAGACCTGCGAAATGTTCAGTTTACCGATGTTTCAAAGTATTTAACGAACTGGTTCACCTATTCGCTCGTACATCCTATCGATATGCAGAAGCTATCTTGTTACGGAAGGTAAATTTTATGGAATCATCCTACTTTCCAATTATTCACAATGGCGTTTATGTATAGACGATAAAAATGACCCCGGTAAGAATTTAGTTCTGACATTTAACATTGTTGCCGTTAGCTCTCAGTTCAATAATATCGTTATTTTTTTTGTGTGGTTGTAGTAATAGACACGATTATTATTATTATAGTGATTATATTACGAATTCATTTTTCATAACAATGTATTCATCGAAAAATATCTGTAAAAATGATTCAAACTATTTCTGTAACATCTGTGGTGAATATACATTCAGAAATTGTAGACTTCTCGAAGTTAGTAAAACACGTGTATTTTGATTACTTTGGATTTCCTATAAACACCCGTGACAAGTAGGTACTGGTTATGTAAAACATGTGTGGAGTCTTTTTGAGATTATGGGTGGAAAAGAAAGGACCCTATTTCAAGTATGAAACATCCTCCTGAAAATCTTCAGAGGCAAGTTCGGAGGATGCATCAGCAAAACCCTACTACACACCTATAAGACGTTCATAAGACCAATCCTGGACTATAAAGCCATGATCTACTGCTTCGAAATCTACGTCACCAGAACAATCAGTAGCAGCAACACGAATGCCACTGAAAAGCTGGCCACCCTCTGGACGCCCCTCGGGACCCCAAGAACGGTTTCAAGAAAAAAGCTCCCATTGCTTCCAGCCAGGCTCCTAGGAGCCCTGGAGGATATTCTGGAGCGGTTCCAGGATATCTTCGATAAGTTCCCGCTGACGATCAAGTAGAGGACAGCTCACTGGCAGAGAAGACCAAAATGAAAAAGGTGTACTCATCCCCCTAGGCCTACCTTAACTTGAACCAACCAACGATGCACCAGCAACTGTACCTGGACCACTCCCAACACACACATACTCCACCCACATAAGAAACAAGAACCGCAAAAAAAACGCATATAAAATAAGAGCACTGAACCCACGAAAACAGAACATCAACACCCAGAAATGAGCTAATGTAAACCCCTAACCTAGATTACCCTGGTTGCTCTCATGTGATACTAACCTAGCCACATTATTAGAAAATTAAGGTATTTGACTTGACTCTCAAACATCAATGATTTGGCTGGAACCCTCAAACCATTAGAAATATTGTCATTTTTGCGTGGTTGATATGAACAAAATTATTTGAAGAAACCCGTTCAAATAGTTTTACTCTAACGTGTTATCTACTACTGGACCAATCCTGTGCTCCGGCGATGCAACAAAAATCTTCCTCTACACAAAATGATCACGAATTAGCTGGGAAAATACCAGCTACAAGTGATAAAACTGGAACAACTGATTTCATTTCGTATATTCTCCATGAACTCTCCAACCAGAAAGAGATCAACGCCTTGATCAGAGACCTTGGTCTTTCTGAAAAATTATCGGAGATTATAGCTTCTTGATCCACTCAGATTCTTTTCTGAAGATGACTTCGTTTATTGTTCAAATATTTCTGTGTTATTGGAAGCAATAGGAATAGACGAATGTGAACGGAATCTATGGCGCTTATTTATTGATTCCTCTAAACGTATCCTGGAATGGTGACTTTTCTGCTCGGACAACTATGATGCAATAAAAAAATATAATTTTTTTGTCTGTGGGTCAGCAGAGCTAATTCTCAGCACTTGCTTCAAAAAGATTGAGCTTCCAGGCAAGTTATGGTTCCGGAGAAACTGAATATGATAAATGAACAACTAGCACCTAGTACGTTATAGATCGAACCATTTTTTCGAAAATCACGTTTTTCTGATATCTGAAAGCTCAAGATGGTACAAAAACTCTGACTTTAGATCTAAAATCAGCACCCCGAAAATGTATAATATTAGTTAGAATATTTCATGCAACTAAAACTCTGTCAAGTCCAGTAATACCGGGACTCGACAGAGTTGATCAATGTCCTGGACATCACTTCTCTTCCTTACATCGGATGCTTCCTTACTCCTTACGTCAGATGCTTTCTCACATTAGATGATTCCTTACATCACATGCTTCTAACACTCTTATCGCCATTATCGATATTATCTTCCCCAGCAAATAATGCCATCATTTTGAATTAACAGCGATATACTGTTTTGATATTCCCAGCTGGAATTTGGTTCTTCCAAAGTTTCCCCTAATTTTTCTCTGTCCATCATTGGAGATGAAGGCTCCCATTATTTTCTCGTAGTGCACTGTTTGGGACACTTGGTGTAGCATTTTATAATTCTTTCTCAAAAAGTTGGTTTTGCAAATGGCTTTGGTGAATTCACAGCCCAATTTTTTTCTTTCTTTGTTGAATTCATTCATATATCGATGATTTTGAAATTCCCGTCATTTGTAAACATATTTCCACCAGAATATTAACGTCATACGAAGGATTTTGGTGTATGAAAGGTTCATATACGTACATTGAGGATATTAATCCTTTCTTCAACAGAAAAAGCTTATTTGCTCATTCGTTTCACTGGAAAAGAAAACTGAAGTGGCCATTAATTATCACACTTTGAATAGTCAACGAAACTGCTTGAGTTACACAGATGATAAACAACCTGATTGAAGCTTCATTAGATCGGATCGAATAATGACGTTATCCTCTTTTCCAACGGTAATTGAGGTATAATAAAAAAAAAGCTCATTACTACAGTTTGTTGTACGATTTTCACTATAAAGGGTTTCACAAAAACCGTGACACGGGTTTCGCTATACACTAGCTTTTTCAACTTTTAATAATACGTTATCTCTAAATCACAACTATTTTATACTATAACATATTACCTACTTTGTCTACTTTCTAATGAATGGATCTATCTGAAAACTCCGGTATGAATTCATAAACAATATGAATAAATAAAATTTTCCAAAATACCGTAATTGTACTCAACTTCTCAACATCTGAAATAGTTGTAATTCAATATCAATTCACCATTTTTTTCAATTAACAATGAGTATCACTTTGTTCATGTAGACAGCTTCAATCTTTTCCCAAAAAGTAATTTGAAACTATTTGTTGAATTGGTAGAATAAAAAATATTTTCCATCAACTTTTCGATCAGATCAAAATAATCGAGATAAACGTATTTAAAACATTCTAGGTCAAAGATTGACATTCAGAAATATAAAATCAACTCACCGTTCGTTTATGTCTTTTTTATCAATTTGCTGTGAATTTATTTCAGCCAGCGAAGTTCCACTGAGAAATATAATCACTGATATACACAATCTTTTCTTGTAGTGCATTTTTATAACTCGTGAATATGGTTACATTCAAATTCATAGATTCTTATTCACTCAATACAACACAAGTGAAACGTTTACATTTCGTTCAATAGGCTGCTCGGTTAATAATCGGAAATTCCATTCATTCTACCACCCGTTGCTGATATAGAGGTTGGTATTATCTGGGGTTTTTACTATTCTTAGTCTATACGGAAGTTAATCAACTGATAGTAAGTATCACCATTCTTTGATTCTTTGATACAGTTCATATTTGAAGAAAGAAATCTGCCCGTGGAGGCCGTGGTCCAATGGAACAAACATGAACTAACAAACATTTCGTCCTCTACTGCAGCAGACAATATCGCTAGTAGTTAGTTGGATAGATAGATACATAGATATATAGATGATTTAACTACGACTTATGATGTTTGTAGCAAGTCATATGAATAAACAGTCTAATTCTAACACTAGGTTATGAACACCTAAACATACTTATGGGTAATGAAAAACTTAGACACTTGAAAAACAAAATAGTGGAACAATAGTGGAACGAACAAATCATTTCGCAAAGATGCTAATAATATCTTGTATCTGCAACAAGAATTATATTTTCAATATCAAGATTAACAACTAAAATTCTCTTCTTGAATGTTATAATTATGTACAACTATAATAATATGAAAAATCATTTTGTATAAATTCTGAACTTGGTGGGACTTGGGTGTCACACCAATAGGTGGTTCCACTTATGTCTCTATGTGTCGCTTGCGTTAACGCAGTTATTTTTATTTTTATCAGTACTGTAATGTATTGAAACTATTCATTGCCTGTTGAAAATTCTCTATCTACGCCTATGTTTAATTTATGATTTTTCATAGTTTTTGAAGAATGTATATTTTATGTTTTACTTTACTACCAAGAATTTTCATTCCATAACGGGATCCAGTCTATTTGTATATAGTGTGTAATATAGGGGTGCAATGACAATCAGTGTTTCATTGTCCCTTTTGAACATTACAATTTTCTTGGTTTTTCACATTTTGTCTTTAATCGAGGACCGCCTGGCCGGTACTGACGATGCCCAATAGGCTGAAACAGCTGTCTACCGTTGGCTCTTAAATTGACATCAGTTTGTGAATGATCAGAATAGTACAATAATTATTGAATAAACAAAGGTATGGAAGAACGAGTTTATACTTACGAAAGTGAGGTTAGAATGAAGTTTGCAAAAAAAATAACAAAGAGGATTTTTATATTTGTATGTCAAGACTAAAATTGGTTGAAAACATATAACATTATATACTATTTTTATGATAAAATGAGATGATTGCACAGATAATATGTAATTAGGTATCAGAAAATAAATTCAATAGGTTATCGGACATGATTGACAAGACACATGAAATTTGCCAGAGAGTGTTTGACAGAATTTCTTGTTCTGACCATTGCAATGACGAGAAAGGGATCTTACAGAACTATAAAATGATACATAACAGAGAGAGAAGGTAAAGTGTTCTCTTTACGGAATTCTTAATTGTTATCAAATTTATTATCTTTATTTAAATGTATATGATCCAGATTCAGGTAAAAACACCTTACCCCTTGACTCTCATGTAGACCTTTGTAGGTACCTGTGGCAGATATGCAACGGAAAAACAACAACTTACCCAGCTAATGCCGCGCAGAGAGTTGAAGCAAAACCATCAGGCACCTGTGCAACGTATTCGATTAAAACTTTTCGACACCCTCTTTACAGACATTGATGGAAGAAGAAATAATGCATTCAACAAAATACAAGAGAACTTAACGCCCAGTTATATCATAAATCAAGCTTTTAGGTTATATTTTTTATGAAAGTTCTCAGAATAATCCATAGAATCTTCCTTTCAAATATTTTCATCTCACTTAGGATTAAACTGTGGATTAAAAATGAATATAAACCCCAAGTGGATTCTAACCAGGATTTGATTATTCTCAAAACTTTCAAAGATTATCATTCCTTCCATATATATTTTATATATCATTCAAGAAAACACCTCATCACACATTCCAAAAGGCTGACTGGGACACACTTTCATAGAAATTCATATTACTCATATTATTCAATCTCTTACATAATGTCTTCGAATTAATCCCATCAAAAGACCTATCGGTTATACAACTTGAGGCCCAGAAGGGCGTGCAATAGCCGTATCAAATCGTCTTCGTTCAACAAAAGTACCTGCATGTCTCCATTCCCTGGGGAAGGCATCTACCTAAGATCCTAGAACTCACGAGTCAGGCCAGGTTCGGATTACTAAATATTTTACGTCCTCGACCAAATTCTGAATGTAGCCCCTACGGACGTTGTAATGATGTGTAAAATATTATCTTTGACTATTATTAAAAAAAACAAGGTTGATAACTAGTTTGGAGTGTTGATTTTTCACTATACTCGCGTTTAGTCTCACAAACTCGTGCAATTTTATTTCTTGGATATTTCAGAGAGAAAATATTGTATCGACCTAGGATTCCAAGTGGCTTACTAATCTCATTCCTGTACTGATTCTGTTGAGTTGGTGCAAAAATTATTGTTCGAAAATGAGGCATTCATAATCTACACCTGACAGCATTTTCGTGAACTATAATAGATCTTATCAGTGGTGCTGGGCTAAACTACTCATTCAATGTTGAAGTCACTGCTTTCAGGCCTGATTAGGAAATAACCATCACATCACCCCTCAAAAAGACGACATCTATGGGATAAACCCAAGACTAATCCACAAATATCAAAGATGAAAGAGGCAAACTGGCAAATCTGTAGAAAATTAAACTATTATTTAAGAGCAAACAATTCGGTTTCTATTCATAAATCTAGCAGCACAAACGATATCTATTTTCGTGTTATCAAATTCAAGTTAGTAGAAGCATTTATGGTAAGGGCCCCTTAAACCTTAGCTCGCACAAGTTTCGACTTCTGAGGGTTGTCGTTCGTAGGGGTGCGATAGCTGTATTTTTTCAATATATTTTTTCACTCTTGAATCGTAAATTTTGTTGAAAAAATGGTATTCTGAGCGACGTCAAGAAGTTTTGTGAGGAATAAATCAACAGACCATATTTCAATTCATAAAGGAAGGATTTTCATCAAGTATCGGCCAATTCTATTCAATTGAGGAAGTAGACGAATGTCTGAATTCAGGAAACGAGGTGGTCAGGGTTGTTTTTTGATTTGTCAAAATCTCTTGATTGCGAAGCTTCGTAGATTATTACTGAAATTGATGAACTACGGGTCCAGTGGTCAAAGTCTTGACCTTATACCATGGCATTCTCGAAAATAGAAAGCAGCATTGAAAAAAACTGCTGGATAATCAAGAAGGTGTACCTCAAAGATGCATACTTGGTTCTCTACTTTCAATTCAGAATGACTTACCACGACTTTCTCTCCGATCGCGCCATAGGTCGAATATGCCGATAACGATCGCCCACAAAGATGACACGTGGATATCGTGGCCAGAATGGAGTCTAAAATGAATATTGAAGTGAAAGATGTATTGAGAGAACTAACGGCCCCCTATGCTTGTAACAAGGCTAAATGTCGACACAGGTCGTCAGTTTAGTAATAGATATGATGAACATGTTCTGAGTGGTTTAATCGATTTGCGTTTTTTCTATTCGAAGGCCTGCCAAACTTGTGTTCACTATGGACTGGAGGAACCTAGCCAAATGCGTTTGAATAACAAGCAACGGCCACAGAAATTAGAGAGAGAGAGGGAGAGAGAAATGACCTACCAAGTCACTCCCCATTTAGAACAATAATGGTTGCAGCTGATGCAAGCATGGGTATAAGAGCAAACGATAAAAATGACACAGTTCATTCAATATAAGTTCAAACTGAAATTGTATATTAGAAAAAGCAAAATCAATTAAGCAATGGAAAATGATTCATTGGATTTTAGTGTCGGAAATCAAACTATCTACTCTGATCGTGATCTATATTTCTTAGAATTGTTGTTGATCATCGACTGAGTTGAAAACCCCATATAAAAGAAAAGGCACATAAAATTTCATCATTCTTTGAAGTTGGTGAACCAGCATGTTCAACCACTCTCCATATAATTTACTTGAAATCCTTTAATATACCCGCTCAAAATCTGTATTCATAGAAGAGTAAATAATGAACCTGAGTTGAATTTATATTCCAGAGGCTATATTATATCAAAAGAAAGTTTAAGTATGTTTGGTGAGTATAAAAGAATACATCAGCATAATATACGTTGAAACCCCCCAAATTAAGTTCACACACTACTACTATCCATTATTATTGCAACTGAATAATTCGAAGCCTATTCTGGCATACCTATTATAAATGTTCAATATAATTATGACTATAATACCATAGATAGAAACATAAGGCAGAATTCTCATATAAAATTTATAATAAAAAAACTGCAAACAATGCTTCACAACTTCCGTTTCTTGAAAAATTGTTTACCTCACAAAGAACTTAAACAATTATATAGTTCCCTATTGTAGAGCCATTTGAGATATGGTGTAATAGCATGGAGATCAGCTCTGCGTGTACACCTAAATCCCTTAGAGGAGAGGAGATTGATGAAGTTGATCATGTCTAGAAATTCACGTTTCTCGTCAGATTTTCTGTATAGAGTGTGTGAAGTTATGGATATGAGACAATTATATTAATATTGTACAAACGTTAAGTAACAACGTGAAGTAACAGCAAGAAACCACGACTATAACACTCGACATTTCGACCAACTAACCTATTCTACTGTTAAAAAGTCAATTTCACAAATAGCATATTTTTCATGACAACTTAATTATATAACACTGTACCTCACAAAATGAAAAATTCTTATTCCAAACCAATATTCAAAAAAAATAAGAAAACACATTCTCGAAAAAGATAGACGATTTAAAAAAAAAAGTTAGAGTGAAATAAGTTAGTGTTAGTCAAATTTACTCCAAGGTTATTTCATACTGTATTGTAAGTAGCATAATCCTATCCATACTGCCTAAATTTCATCTATTTGAACATTAATATTTTATTCTTATAGAACGTATAATATTTGTCCAAGGTTTCATCTATTTTTCTCATTTTTTGTTTGTCAAGCATTCAATC